GCAAAATAATAACAGTAACAAACCAAAACATAGTAAATAAAACCCCATGAGTCTTTATTGATCTAAAACAACAAGAGGGAGAAAATAGTAATAACTTAAAATAAAACACCAACTAACACAGTAGAAGGAATAATCACTACAGAATTATCATTTAACAATCATTACAGATGTGCTTAACTCAGGTGGTGGAGGGGTTGTTACTGACACCCACTAAATTTAGCTAGTGAATGGAAGTTTGTTCAAAAAAAGTGAGGGTGTCAGTAGAATTCTGGAATACATCTCCACAAATACTAACCAACCACAATGGGACAGAAATATGATCTTGCTAACGTCGGTGCTAGTGGCACCATGATACCATGGCTGTGAGCGAAATGAACTGAGAAGGATGTGACACCATTTCAGGGGTATTCCTGCCAGGAAAGCATCACCTGACTCGGGCCATGAGGAAACTGCATCGGCCCCCACGCAACGCAGGTCCTCTACCTCCTAACACCGTCAAGGACATAAATGGCAACATTGAGGCTGAAGAAGCCTAAAGAGATGACAATTAAATTGATCACATAATCCAGAGAGAGTCCTGCATGAGAAAAAACACTGCTGGCATAGTCGATAAACTCACACAGGTCCTTTGGGACTAGATAAGAGTGTGCGCCAAGTTAGATTTTCTGACTGAGAGGGCCTTATGTTGGTTGTATAAGAGTGCCTTGTTTTTAAGAAACAGACAGTGCAGTATTTAAGGGTGGTGGGATACCACATCTGCAGCCTGCTCAAAATGTTTAGAAAAAGACTGACAATGGGTGTGTGCATATGTATTTACATATACTTAAGTACGTATGCATGTAGAAATGTAACAAAACAATGGAAGAAATCTAGGTGATGAAATTATAATTATTTTTACTGTTTTGGTATCTTTCCTGGATGTAGAAGTTACTTCAAAATGATTTAAAAGTTCGAAACAAATATGTAATACATAACATCTAGTGTTAAGTACAAATGTGAATCAGCTATTAGCTGAAGCCAGGATATAAAAAACGCCTCGAATTATACAGACTTCATGTCGCCAGACTCCAGAGAGGCATTAACAAGAAGGGTAATGTTTGTATGCTTTCTTGGAGAACTAAGAGCATCTCAGTGTGTTAAATTAACGTTCCTGTAGTGCAGCAGTTTAGCAGTAACAGAATCGCCTATTGGAGCTCCAGTTGGATTTCCAGCTACTCTGCTTCCAATCCAGCTTCCTGTTGAAGTGTTTGGAAAAGAAGTAGATCACTCAAATACTTGGACCTCTGACACTAATACAGAAGACCAGGATGAAATTCCTGGCCCCCCACCTGCAGCCTGGCGTGGCGAGCTGTGGGGCCATTCAGGAGTGAACCAGTGAAAGCATGACCTCATCTCCTTCTCATATCAATCTGCCTTTCAAATAAACCTTAACACACACACAGCCCTTCCCTTTTTATTCATGGATTTTGAATGGGTATTTTACAACTCAATGAGGAAAGGAATCTTGACTGAGTCATCTTCATAGTCCAGCGCCTAGCACATTTATAGTTTAACCATGATTATGTCTTGGTACAGGAGCTGTATTGTCAACAGCGTTCCAATCACAAAAACGCAAGGACTCAAGCACTGCACAGATTTTGCTGCACTAAAAGGAAAGATTGTTGTACATCAAGTGAGCGTGTCTGTGGAAAACATCACAGGTGATCTCCCTTAGGAACTCAAGGGGTGTGACTCACCTGCCCACAGTGCTACAAACAGAAACACATGTACCCAGTGCTAACAGGCAACAGCCCCAAGCACAACAAAGTGTTCAGACTTTTCACTAAGGAACACAGAATAAAATTGTTTAGAATACAAGCAAGGCTTTCGGGGAAAAAGGCTGACAGGAGAAGACCCTGCTTAAAAGAAATGTTAGAGGGTCTAGAAACATCTCTTGAATTGAACACTATCAAATTGCTATTAAAATACACATCCTACTAACAGTATATGAATAAGATCATTTTCAAATATGAAGAGATGCATTTTCATTGCAGAAACCCCAACTTTCCAGGCCCGTTATCAGAATTATACTCAAAACTCTTTGAAAGCTGAACGTATCATGGTCCAACACTTCCTGAGGAATAGCTATATTTCTCAATACTTACATTGAGGTTCTTGTTCCAATGCTACCTTGTTTAAAAAAAAAAAACAGTTATACATGTCCAAACACCTAAGCTGATTATATCTCTTCAAAATTTTAAACAATATTTAAGAACTGCATTTTGATAGCATGTCTACTTTGGAATACAAAAGATACTGACACATTATGAAAGTAGGATTTTGTATGTTTGAAGCAATATTAGAGAATCAAAATCTATTATAGCTTTATTTTCACTTCTCTCTCTTCAGGAATACAGGTGAAATCTGTTCCAGCATTTTATAAGGTAAAACAACAAAACAAAGACATTCAGCAACCCTATAAATCAGAAATGTTGTGGTTTTTAAATGAAGATAAAATACTTAGGAATGTTCTAAGAATTACATGAGAAAATGTATGTACAGAAGCATGGTGCCTGGCACAAATAAACACCCAATAAACAGCAGTGTGCTCGACTGTCATTAAAAAGTGAAAGCCTGGACGACCGAGGGTCTTAAAAATCTGTTAGAGAAGCCCGCAAAAGCAGATGGATACAGTCTGATTGATTCAGTAAAGAATGGAATCCTGATACATTTAACCTCAGAGTTCCATTACTAACACAGGGCCTGGCTCACACAACAGGGTGTTCAGTAAAGATCTGCCGAAATGAAGGGAGTGTGAAAATATGTTATTTGGCAAATTCTTTTTTAAAAGAGGCAGTCTCAAGTTTCATGAAAAATAAACTGAATGTCCAAAAATGCTACTCCCTAAGCCAATAGCTGAAAAAAGAAAGAAAACATCTAAGCATTTTCTGAGGCAGGCACAGAAACTCCCCCTCAGACTGATGTGTCACATACAAAGCCTATTATGTGAGAGAAATGTTTAAGATTCTAATCTGAATAAATGTTGCATGCATCCTTCAAGGGAGAGGGAGTGGTAAGTACCCAAAGCATTGAGGAATCTTTCTCAATTTGTACGCAAGAAGAATCTCACGAACTTAAATCACAGTTCTTCCATCCACTGCTCTCAACTTACACATACAAGCAGGATGTGAATACATAATTTTATAATGACATTTCACTTTCACAAGTGTGAGTGCACACCCCAGAAAAGGAAGAGAAAAGAAAACAGAAAGTATGACAGGCTAACAAAACTTGCATGCCCTGTCTAAGCAGCCACCTGTCAGGACCCTGGCTTACTGCCATCTCACCGATTTGCAAACTCAAAATTTGTGGGGGACTAGGGGAGAGGCAGGCAGGGAGCAGGCAAATGCAATGTTAAAATATGGTGCTATCTAGCCCACCCCATCATGAGGATGATTCAGAGATCAACAGAATTGCTTATTAGTAAGACCTTTTTGAGGTTATTGCCTATTCTCTCACCACAGCACTCCATTCTTCCTGTTCGGAAACTAATCGATTTTACAGAGCTAAAGCCACACCCTTAACAACACACTCAAGTCAGCACAGTGTTTGACTTCCGTGCCAAGTCAAACACATTTCCAGAGAGACAGTCGGCGTGACATCTCCTGAGCCTACTTCAAACCCAAACCTGTTACCTGCGAAGCACAAATCAAACAAGAGCCTCAAATCAACTGCTCCAAAGAGGGCTTTTCCCAGGGGCTGCAGGTGGGGCATTCAAAACATTATCTTCTTAAAGAAATTCAGTTTTCAGAAAAACAGGAAACTACTGGGTTAAATAGGGGTTTGTAGCATATTTATCAAAGAACCTGCAATACAGAGTAAACTTAAATTAGCATTTATTTCCCATGGTGCCTTGACAAGTAGCCAACCAGTGGTGGAAGGCACTGTCCAACGGACAGTTAGAAGTTATTTTTTAACGTAAGTTCTGGAAAGTTCTGAAGTAGCAGTTTAAGAAGCAAATAACATTTTAATGAGGAAAAAAAAAACTGTTGACAACCTGGAAATATACATTGGCGATACTTCACAGAGTTTTTGTTCTAATCTAAGCAGGAAGATCAGGCACTCACTGTGGGTAGTTGATAGCAATCAGTGAAAAAGCCTTCCCAGAAGTAAGGAGTGAAAATAAGATCCACTACAATCCAACACGATCATTGAAAACCGTTCTGACATTATTAACATTTCTTTAACCAAACCCAGAGCCCAGAGCAAAGATTTCTCATTTCAGGTGCATACACTTAGTGAATTAAAAATAAATAAGTAAAAACTAAACCGTAAAAGAAAACACTGAAAAGTGCTCAAGATATCCAAACCCAGGACTGGCAACAACAGCCCTCATAGTCATCTCTGGGAGTTCCAAATCTACAGCCCTTTGCAACACGAGCTTCGGTGTGCCATGGGGCGAGGGAGGGGGGTACCGAGCCGGTGAGCTCGTCTCCTTGGGAGACGCCTCAGTGCACGTTCCAATTCCCTTCAACTCCACGGAAGACAGCTTCTAGACATGCAGGGAAGGAGGAAGGGGGTGCCAGAGGGGCGATTCTGGCGGCGGAAGCTGCAAACACAGGTTCCCTGCAGCCCGCGTGCACCTCTCCCCACCCATCCCAGCCCTGCAGAGCCATGGCCCCATCCGCCCAGGATCGGCAGAACCCTAGGCTAGGGGCGAGGACGCGGATCCTTGGAGGACAGAGGGACAAGGACAGGCATCCAGATGGGGAGGATAGGGCGCGCCACGAACACCCCGAGTCTTGCAAATCCGCCTCCCGATGGGGAGTTGGGGGGGGTGGGCAGACAGGATGCTGCTCGCTCGAGACTGCGGGCTGACAATGCTCCCCGGGCGGACAGAAGCACCCTCGCCGGAGATTTGAGGGCGTGAACCCAGGCAGGGTTGAACGCCAAGCCCCCTCCCCCCTCCTCCCCAATGGGTGAAGAGACCCCGGTAACGTCCAAGAGTGGAGGAGACTTACGGCTACTTCTTGGGCTGAGGGGAAACGGTCGGGCGGACCCCCTCTCCCCGACGCAGGTCAGCAGCTCTGCCTCCGCCGCGGCCACCCCGGTGACCTCAGGTAGCCGGTGCGCCCCACCCACCCCCAGGACGGGCAGAGGCTGTCGGGGGGACCCCCGCGACAAGCGCTGCGTGAAGAAGCCTCAGGCGCCGCGGAGAGACTCAGACTGGGCGGGCGGCCCCCATCCCTCTCCAGCCGCCGCGCCGCCTCCCTCGAGGGAGGGGACGAGGGGGCGGTGGCTGCTGCCTCCGCCTCGCCGTCAAGTCCGGCTCATGCTTCAGCCTGACACGCGCGCGCACTCCGCCCCGGGCCGCTCTCCTCCCCTTCCCCGCTCCGGGCAGGGCCGCGGGTGCTCCTGTCGCCGTCGCAGCCCCGGAGCCTCTCGCCAGCAGCCTCGCGGAGCCAGCAGCGCCGGCCACCAAGCAGCAGCAGCAGCAGCACGAACGACAAGCGGCTCCGGCGACCGACCCGGAAGCTCTTAGGCCGCCAACCGCGAGGCTGAGACGGGGTGTGAACCCGGAAGCTGTTTCTGCACCCCGGTCGCAGCGGCTTGGAAAAGTCAAGGCCTTAGAGAGACCCGGGGAGCCCCTGGTTTCGGGATCGGGTGAAGGAAAGGCGCTGAGGTGCGAGGCCTGGGCAGCTCTGTGGAGAGCCGGATCGCCCAGGGCGGGCAGGGTGCCTGGGGCCGAAGGGCAGAGGATGGGACGGCGGTGAGGGGCCCTCCCCGAGGGTTGGATGTAGCGTCCGGAGGGGCAGAGCACTCGGAGGAGGAGCGAGAGAGAACGGAGCGGGGAGCCGAACCGCCTCCACGTCTAGGGGTCTGCAGGCAAGGACTTCACCATTGTTACTGTTTACAAGGAGCTGCGGAGAAGCCCGCGCCTCTTCGGGACCGAATCTCGGCGCGGCGACGCGGTCCTCCCCGGTAGCTGAGGGTTTTGTTAAATCTGTATGATACATTTGTCGGGGCGGGGAAAGCGACTTCCAGCGGAATCATCCCAGCCCCTGTCTTCCCTCTACCTCTCTCTGTCTTTTCCTGCTTCATTTCTTTGCTCCCTCACCCCTCCCGGTGGTTTTTCTTTCATTTTTAGCATCTCCCACCCCTCGTGGGAGATGACAGGACAGTTGTGGACCAGTAGTGGACATGCCCTCCCCGGGCGTGGTGAGAACCAGCACTGCCCTGCGCGTGTTTCTCACGGTCACACACACAGCCAAGCCCGCCACTCTTGATTAGATGTCATGGCTTGGGCAGCACACTATCATTTGTGCCTAAGCGTTTTTCCAGTGAAGTTAGCCAAACTGCCACACATTGCCTGTGAGTCACTTGAGCCCTTATGCAAAACTCAGGAGCAAGTTAGTGCGAACTAGTTACTTTTTTCTATCTCGTCAGCTCCTTACCCTCCTCCTATCTGTCCACCTGTGTTTCTGTCTTTGCAGCAGTATTAGCTTTCCTCATTTTCCCTGGCTTAAGCCTTTGTGGTCCTCTTTCCCTATCACTGAAAGAACCAACGCTTCTTTATAATCCTAAGAGCTTTGTGGGGACATGCATTTTGTTTTAAAAACAAAATACTATAACCTCATGGTGGGATCTTAGGGTTAATCATATCCCCTATGGCGACCTTTTCAAAGTTGAAAGTTCCACCACTCAAAACTAAATATTCTAGATTGGTGAGTGTAACAAGTAAAGCATTTTGCTGGTAAACGTTTTCTCAGCAGGAATTGATCAAGACAGTCATTAATTTGCTTTCTTTAGAAATTTTCTTTAGAAAATTCTTTCAGAAATTTTTCTTTAGAAAACGGGGAATTACTTGATTTTGCTTTTAGGTGTTTTATAGAGCAATTTTTTGGGTAACTGTACATTGTGGACTACACAGGGCTCTGAAATACAGTGTTTTGGGGGGCTTGCAGTTTTCACAGAGGCATTCATGTCTTAATTTGTGAAATAGTATTTAGAAATCATTGTTGTTTTAAGATTTATTTGTTCTTTAAAAGTTGCAGACAGAAAGGAAAAGAGAGATGTTCAACCTGCTGGTTCACTTCCCACATAACTGCAACAACCAGTCCCGAGCCAATCTGAAGCCAGGAGCTTCTTCTAGAGCTCCCTCGTGGGTACAGGGGCCCAAGGACTTGGGGCATCCTCTACTGCTTGCCCTGGCACATTGGCAGGGACCCAGATGGGGAATGGAACAGCTTGGACTAGAACCAGAGCCCACATGGGATGCCAGCGCTGCATGTGGAGGATTATTATGACATGCCACTGTGCTGGCCTCTAGAAACCATAGTAAATCTGAAGTAAAAAATAAATGGTATAGTCCCGGCAGCGTGGCCTAGCGGCTAAAGTCCTCGCCTTGAACTCCTGAGATCCCATATGGGCGCTGGTTCTAATCTCAGCAGCTCCACTTCCCATCCAGCCCCCTGCTTGTGGCCTGGGAAAGCAGCCGAGGATGGCCCAAAGCCTTGGGACCCTGCACCCACATGGGAGACCTGGAAAAGGTTCCAGGCTCCTGGCTTTGGATCTGCGCAGCTCTGGCTCTTGTGGCCACTTGGGGAGGGAATCAGTGGATGGAAGATCTTCCTGTCTGTCTGTCCTCCTCTTTGTATATCTGACTTTCCAATAAATAAATAAATCTTAAAAAAAATGGTATAGAACCTGTGAGAAGAAATGGGCTTCATCCTTCCCACATGGTTAGGAAGCCCTTTAGCATGAGGTGAGCTTAAGAATGAGCTAATGAAAACCATGGACTGAAGAAAATTCTGTGACTGGAATGAGAATGAATATGTCCTCAAACTTCTTGGAATGAAATGTTACCATCCTAATATTGTACTGCAGTTTTTCTTATGGAATATCTAAAGCTTTTTGGACCCAAATCAACTTAAAATGCTTGTACAATGATTGTAATGGTTGTTTAGTCCTAGGCTAAAGTTAATTCAAAAGACACTGGATTTTTAAAGGATTTCTCCAAGTCATACATTTTAAAATTTGTTACTTAAAGATGGTTTTAAATGTTCCAAAGAGACATTACCAATTACAATTGAAAAAACAAAGCAAATTACTCTATTTCCTTTCCAGTAGAGCTGAAAAATCCCTTGGCTTTAGAATGCTCTCAGTTTTCTCTTTTGAGAGTTAGAGCAATAAGTAATTCATTAAATATGAGCAGGTCATTTTAATGCCTAATGGGCTTTTTAAAAACATTGAGGAAAGATCATCTCAATATGGCCTGGAAAGAAAGTGATGTTCTTTTAGAAATTTGCTGGCATATAAGTGAAAGAAACATTTTTGTGAAAAAGGTAAATAAAATGTAATCAAGTTGTATTTTAGGCTAGTAATGAAAAAAGGTAGTGATAGAGCTATTAAACCATTTAGAGTGTGATTAAAATTCAGTTTTTGGTGGGAAATTTCCCAGAGGAGACTTAAAATTAGTCTAGTGAGAAAAAAAGGTATATAAATTCAGAGAGAGTGGATATGTTTAGAAGTAAAGGTTGAGGCTATTAGGATAGGGGAAATGGAAAAGATTCTGAAGTCATTATCAGAAAGCCTTTGTCGGCTGGCCAGGTGGTTGTAATGGGCACCTCCAAAGATAATTACAAACTGTGCTTTAGCTTGTGGAAACGTGTAACATCCAACTTCTTGCTAAAGCCTCCACAAGGAATGTCAGCGGATACAAAGCAGCTTCCCCGCTGGTTAAGGGGGAAAGGATGTATTCTAAATCACTATTTTGAGTCATCATTTAAAGGATACTTAATAATTGCACCCCTTTTATAAGCACAAAAGGTGGATTCTTGCTGTACATTTCAGATCTGTGAGAATATATATCCTCAAAGATCAGAAAAGGCTGACAGAGCCTACGGAACTTGTTAAATGACAAGCTAATGTGTTGAATAGTTCCACAGTATGTGTGTAGAACAACCTCTGGCTTACGTTTTAGGTTCTATTTACTTATTTTTAAAACATTTTTTATTTATATGAAAGGCAGAGAAATCTCTGTCTCTTGGTTTATTCCCCATCTGGCTGTGATGGTCAGAATTTGGCCAGGCCAAAGCCAGGAGTTTGGAATTTTCTCTGGGTCTCAGAAGTGGATGCAGGGACCCAGGCTTCAGCTGACTCTCAGCTGCATTAATGGGGAGCCAGATTAGAATGGAACAGCAAGCACTTGTTCATATGGCATTGTAAGGTGGCATCTTAACCCACTGCTCTACAAAGCTGGTCCCTTTAGGTTCTGTATATTCTAAGGAAAAAAAAAACAGTTTTTAAAAAGTTTTTTTTTCTACATGATTATATAAATTGTCAAGTTAACATGTAATACTGTATTTTTGCCTTGCAACCAAGTTTGTCAATATTTCCAAGGATTTTTTTTTTTTGTCTCTCTATAAAGCAATGGGAAATCCAAAAAACATAGAAGATGCTTATGTTGCTGTTATTCGTCCAAAGAATACTGCCAGTCTCAATTCTCGGGAATACAGAGCTAAGTCATATGAAGTAAGCAAATTTAATAAAATTTGACTTATACAATTGACTGCCATTCTTAGTTACCATTTACATATAAAGCCTTATTCTATCCTGTAAATTCTTATTAACGTGCTCATTATTCTGGATGTCTGACCATCACAGATTATCTGTCTTTTGCACGACTTTTCACCATTTGCTAGTCACTGACATGAACAAATCATCTAACAGATGTTAAAAATTGCTTGAGTTTTTCTTGAAATTTATATAGGGTTGGATTTACTATGATTTATGAATTGATTCTTGAAAAATGAAAACCACTGTAAAGTCTGTCCCTCCCGAGTTTTAAGCTAAACACTATTCTTGAATGTTTGGGGGCTAAATTACTATTTTTAGCAATTCATTTGAATGTATATGATACCATATGTTTTAAGCAATTAAGTTACTTCTTTTTAGTCTTGAGGTACTTGTATTTGCATGTTTTAGTAAACAAGTAACTGAGATAAAGAGATGGCTTTATGGATGGATGGATGGATAGATGGAGAGATAGATAAGATACATGAGTCATTCCCTTTTCTGTGCAGTGACTTCCAAGCACTGAGAAATGCTCTCTTAGCTACCTGCCTTCTCTGGCCTTGTGCGTGAACTACTAGTTTAAGGTCACCGGAAGTCTGTGAGGTACACTCAAGAGGCAGCTCCTTCAGCAGGGCCCTGGCCTGGCATTTCTCAGCGCTGGCTGCACTGAAGTTTTTCACACTGCCAGTCCCCGGTCCAATCCTCGGACGTCCTCATTCAGTAGCTCCTTGCTTGTGCTGGTATTGGCATTGTTTTAAAGCTTAGCAAGTTCTTCTAATATACAGCTAAGGGGGAGAAATGCTGCTGGTTTATTGTAATACTAAACTTTATTTTGAAGTTTGTCTTAATTAATTTTTCTTGTCTCAGATTTTGCTGCATGAAGTTCCCATTGAAGGACAAAAAAAGAAGAGGAAGAAAGTTTTGTTGGAAACTAAGCTTCAGTGCAATAGTGAAATAACACAAGGCATATTGGATTATGTGGTAGAAACGACCAAGCCAATTTCTCCTGCAAACCAGGGTATCAGAGGTAGGAAACTTGTCTCCTAATCCGTTAAATCCTTTTAAACTAACTAATATCAGAGGCAGAGAGCAGCTGTTATCGCCTTACCTGCCCCTAAAATGTCCTCAATGGGTGGGGCCAGGGACTCCATCTGGATGTCACAGGTAGGTGACAGGAACCCTGTCACTTGATTCATCACCTGTTGTCTCACAGGGTATGTGATAGGCAGGAATCAGGAGCCACAGTCAGGATCTGGCACTCCAGACAGGATGCAGGGGTCTTACCCAGTATCCTAGCTTTTGCCTAGATGCCTTCTTCCCTGTCATCTTTTTTTAAATTTATTTATTTTTATTGGAAACTCACTACACAGAGAGGACACTCTTTGGTCCATCAATTTACTCCCCAGGTGGCCATAATGTCCGGAGCTATGCCGATCCGACCCCAGGAACCTGGAACCTCTTCCGGGTCTCCCATGCAGGTGCAGAGTCCCAAGGCTTTGGGCTGTCCTCCACTGCTTTCCCAGGCCACAAGCAGGGAGCTGGATGGGAAGCAGGGATGCCAGGATCAGAACTAGTGCCCATATGGGATCCTGGTGTGCAAGGTAAAGACTTTAGCCACTAGGCTAAAAGTATACTTCCTGCAGCAAATATCTTTGGACTACTATCTATTCTTCTCCCACAGGAGAAAGGAAACTGAACTTTTCTCCAAAACTAATTGAAAATTCATATTTGTGGATTAAAGAAAGTCTTGTAAGATGCCAGGTAGCTGGGGTTTTCTTCCCACTTGGTCATATGAAAACTTTGTAAAAGATTCAGGCTTCTGTAGAATGATTAACCCTGATAGATTGAGGCCCCAATTAAATATTAGATAATGTAAAGCCCAAGACAGTGACTTATCCCATCAAGTGCCAGGATCCCATATAGGTTCCAAATTAAAAGCAAAATATGCTAACAGTAGCCTGGTGCGGTAGTCTAGCCTCTGACGTCCTACCCTTGAACATGCTGTGATTCCATGAGTACCAGTTCTAATCCCGGCAGCCCTGCTTCCTACCCAGCTCCCTGCTTGTGGCCTGGGAAAGCAGTCAAGGATGGCCCAAAGCTTTGGGACTTGTACTCGTGTGGGAGTCCTGGAGGCAGCTCCTGGCTCCTGACTTCGGATCAGCTCAGCTTCAGCTGTTGCAGTCACTTGGGGAGTGAACCAGAGAATGGAAGATTTTCCTCTCTGTCTCTCCTCCTCTCCATATATCTGACTTTCCAATAAAAAATAAACAAAATGTGTTAATGTAGTCTTAGTTTTTCATAAACAAAATTAGAATAGGAAAGATTTACTAAGTTGAATAAAAAATTACATAATTCGCTATGTTATATCCTGAATATCCTATTCAATGGCGGTTTCATAACTGTGTAAGATATTTTTATAGTAATCTGCTGCCTCATGTGAGCCTAACAGGAAATTCACAAATGTACCATAGTTACACTTCACATTTTTGTACAGTTCTATATGTTGTTTCACAGAGTACTACCAAACTTACTTATTTGTGAAATTTTAAAATTGGTTTTGTGAATTACTGTGAAGTTATTTTGACATCTGCAAAATGGAAGTGTAGGCATTGGTTGTCACTTGGTAAGAGCATGCAGTCTGCAAAGTAGTTAGGTTTGAGGAAGCAGCAAAGCAGGAAAGGTTGAAGTAGGGAAAGGACCTCAAGCCAGACCAAAGAACAGTGCCTCTGAAATTTAGTGAAATTTTATTGTGTGTCTGACAGTTATATTTCAGATAAGTGCTAATTTTATGTGAATAATTTTGGGGACTATAATAGACCTCAATAATCAAAAATGCTGCCCCTGACAGTTACTTAAAAACCTTCACATTTTCTGACCCTCTCTGGAGGGCACCTTCCTGCTCCTTGCACTTCTACTGGAGTCAGGAACAAGGTTGCCTTCTCAGGGGGAAGACAGGCATTAGTCATGCGCAAAGGATCTGGAGCAAGAGGCTTTTCTAGCCCGAGACCTGCAGACTATGGTATATAGCCCCTACCTGCCAAACTGACAAAATCAGACGATAGTTAAGTCAAAAGAATTGCTTGTAGCCCAATCATATTTTTATAAAAACTGAAATTAAAGATAGAAGTTAAATGTTAAATGAGAAGCTACTAAAACTGAAGACTTTGAAATTTAAATAGGTCTCCTTACTTAGTCCAGACTAAAAATTTGGCCTGCCTGTATCCCTGCTGAGTGAGCACACAAGTGGGTGGTTCCTTGCTGTTCACCTGCTCTTGGCATCCTTAGTGGGTCAGGGTTCCTTGCTACCTATAGGAAGTTCCCTTGGAATGAGTAATACCAAAACACTGAATCTACGTGTTTATTATCCACAGAATGTCCTAAGACTGGTTGGTTTTTCATTTCAGTTCCTCTAGATACAGCCTTTTAAAAATTTAATTTTTTCTTTCTCAAGGTAACTTTAAGATTGAAAGTCTGTTATTTTTACTGGTTTCTTTTGAATGATTAGGCAAACGAGTTGTGCTGATGAAGACATTTCCTCTGGATGGAGAAAAGCTGGGCAGGGAAGCAGCACTGTTTATTGTCCCATCCGTTGTCAAAGGTGAACTCCACATTTACTTTATAAACTGTTGTGTGCTTTACATGTTAAGGAAAAGTGCACTGAGAAACTTAGGAGTTTGCATTTATAATGCATAGTAAAATACATGTTTCTAAATTAATAGGAAAAAGGAAATGTACTTAATGCTTTGATTTCAGAGTAATAAACAGGCTTCCTAGCTGAGTTGTAATGTTTTAGTTTGGTTTTTGGAAATAGGATAAGAAGTGAGAGAGGAGCAATGGTGTAATTTAAAGTGTCCAAGTTAAAAATAAGAGATTCTTCAAGTGATTCTATGAAGAGAATGAAAATAGATGCATATTCTAGAAAATTAACAAATTGTAACCAGGGCCTGTTTGATATTTGGAACAATAAAGATGTCAGTAGGGATCCAGCACAATGGCTCAGTGGCTAAACCTTTGCCTTGCATCCACCAGGATCCCATATGGGCGCTGGCTCGTGTCCTGGTGGCCCTACTTCCCATCCAGTTCTCTGCTTGTGACCTGGGAAAGCAGTAGAGGATGGCTGAAAGACTTGGGACCCTGTACCTGTGTGTGACCTGGAATAGGCTCCTGCTTCCTGGCTTCGGATCTGCTCAGCTCCAGCCATTATAGCCACTTATATTCTACTTAGGGAGCAAAACAGCAGACAGAGGTCTTTCTCTCTGTATTGCCTTCTTTTGGGGGTAAATATCACTTTCCAATAAAAATAAATAAATAAAACCTAAAATAAAAACTCTCAGTAATAGCTCTAAAATACTCTGCCCATTTGTACTGGTAAACTTTAAAAAACATGGATCTAAAATAATCATTTAAATTGAGTCTTAAATATCCTAGAATAATTCTTATAAAAAAATATTGAATTTCAGTGCAAATTTGAGCCACCATGTTGACCCCAGTAGTCCTCTACTTTTTGATCCTGAGCAAATCACTTCTTTATTTAATTTACTGTAAAACATAAACAGTTTTGTTACCTGTCCCCACTTGGCTCACAGTGGTGGAAGAATTTAGTGAACTAACAACTTTGAAATCTCTGGCAACTAGGGCTTTGGACTCAGGTGTGATACTGGACTCACTAGTGACACATTAGTGAGCTGCTGTGGAAGCCCTTCAATCTCTCCTGTTACACAGTAGTTAAAACTTATAATTCAGCTATATTATATCCTTTCCAATGAAGGTTTTATAAATGTGCAAGATACTTTTACAAAAATATGATTTTTTTATGTAATCAGTCAGCTGCGGCATTCCAGAAATTCTCTCAGGTGTGCTTAAGTTATAAAGTTCAGTATTTGCTTTATGGACTTCTTAAAACCTTTATTTATGTATGTATGTATTGTGAAAATCTGAGTTAGAGGGAGAATCTTCCATCTGTTGGTTCCTTCCCCATATGGCCACAGCAGCCAGTGATGGGCCTGGCTGAAGCCAGGAGCTTCCTTTTGGGTCTCTCATGTGGGTGGCAGAAGCTTGGGTCATTAGCAGGGAACTGGATAGGAAGTGGAACATCCGTCTCCAGTCACTGTCCATATAGGACACCAACATTGCAAAGTGGTGACTTTACCCACTATACCACAAAACTGGCCCCTATTTTATGTTTTTTTTTAAAGCTATTTACAAGTGGTTTAAGCCCCCTGCTGAAGTGCTGGCATCATATATGTGCGCTGGCATCCTGTATGGGTGCCAGTTCAAGACCCTGCTGTTCACTTCTGATGCAATTCCCTGCTGATGGGCCTGTGAGAGCAGTGGAGGATTGACTAAAGCACATGGGCCTCTTGCACCCATGTGAGCGATGAGGAAGAAGCTCCTGGGTCCTGTCTTCAGCGTGACCCATCCCTGGTTAGTGCTGCTGGTTAGTGCAGCAGTTAGAAGATTTTGTTGCTTCCTTTCTTCTAACTCTGCCTTTCAAATAAAATCTCAAGAGCAAAAACTACAAACAAAAAAGCCATTTATTTGAAAGGCAGTGTCAGAAAGAGGGAGAGACCCAATGATCTGTTCTCCAACCATCTGTAATGGCCAGAGCTGGACTGGGCTGAGACCAGGATTCAGAAACTGCATCCAAGTCTCCCACACAGGTAACAGAAACCTAAGTGCCTGAGCCTTTACTTGTTGTCCCTTAGGCATATTCACAGGAAGTTGGATCACAAGTGGAGGTGGGACTCCATCCCAGGCATCCCAAGTGGCAACTTAGTCTGCTGGAAATCTTATAAAAAGTTTTACCACATTGTTAAGGTAGAGAAAGAGGAAACCATTTCATTAATCCTCTAAGATTCTAAATGCTAAATTAACTCAAAGGGACAAGATTACACAGTTAGCTATCACGTGAATGTAGGCCTTACAATAACAAAACTAGAATCATTTATATTCTACTTTTTATAAATTTTGTTTTTTTAAGGATACTGTATATTTTCATTTATTTACTTGTGAGGCCAAGACACGAAGAAAGAAAGATCCTGTCCAGTTATTAGTGCCTCAGATGCCTGCAACAACTGAGGCTGGGCTGGGGCCAGAGCCAGGAATTAAGAATGCAATTCAGATTGCTCAGGAAAGTAGCGGGGACGTAGTTACTTGAGCTACTACTGCCATCCGTCAAGGTCTTTATTGGTTGGAAGCTGCAGTTAGGACCTGGAGGAGTCACGACTCCAAACCGGGTGCTCTCGTGTACAACCTAGGCAACTTAACTCCTACTAGGCTAACGTCAACTTTGATCCACTCTGAAGTGTATTGTTAGATGGAAACATGCAACTGTAAACCTTTTGTAGGTTGGCATAACTCTTCATTTTTCTTTTTCAGATAATACTAAATATACATATACACCAGGATGCCCAATTTTTTATTGCTTGCAAGATATTATGCGAGTCTGCAGTGAATCCAGTACTCATTTTGCTACTCTTACAGCAAGAATGTTAATAGCTTTGGATAAGTAAGAAACGGCATTAAAAATATTTTAAATTTATCAAATACATATTTATAGCAGCATTGGTTCTCATAGATCAGATACTTTTGGAAGAAAATTTTAGAAATAGTATGTATTAAGAAAGTATAAGTTTTTCAGTTATTACACAGTAATGAGTAACTCCTAGGACAAGATTGTCGTGGTCTCCTTATAGCATGTTAATCTTGTGCTTCAAAAACAACTGACAAAAAAAAAAAAACCTGACAAATTAATGTGCCCCTGTTATAAAACTAGAGTTAATAATGAATAATTATCCATTAACCTCTTCTGTCTTTGTCTTTTAGTAACAATAAGACTAAGATTACCTATGTCTTAGTGATTTAAATTTTAAAAATATTTTATATATTTTGAAAGAAGCTTTTAAAATTATAATTGTGCTTATATTAAAATTGTCCATTAATAAAACTCTTATTAATAAAAATAATTTAACCAACACTAATTAAAATAATAGAAATCTGAAGGTAGTATTAGAAAGTATCCTATATTAGAGTTGGATAGTTGTCTACTCTTTTCATCTTTACTTTGGACACTTTTTTTTTGGCCAGGTGGTTGGATGAGCGGCATGCACAGTCTCACTTTATTCCAGCTTTATTCCGACCCTCCCCTCTTGAACGAATAAAAACTAACGTTATAAACCCTGCTTATGCTACCGAAGCAGGTCAGACAGAAAACTCACTGCATATGGGCTACAGTGCACTAGAAATCAAGAGTAAAATGTTAGCCCTGGAGAAAGCAGATACTTGTATTTACAACCCTTTGTTTGGATCAGATCTTCAGTATACAAACCGGGTAAGAACTGAATAAATTGTGAATGTGGTTTCAAAAGATGTTTTCCTGAGATAAATATATTTGTTTCTAACTGAGAACATTAAGATGTCACTCACATCTGCTTATGTATAATAACACGCAGGTTTCTAAAGCTCTCAGAAGTCTTTGTTTTGTTTTCCCTTTCTAGGTAGATAAAGTGGTAATAAACCCATACTTTGGTCTGGGAGCTCCTGATTACTCAAAAATCCAGATCCCCAAGCAGGAGAAATGGCAGAGAAGCATGAGCAGTGTCACGGAAGACAAGTACTGACTCTCCTTTCTGCCCTTCTTTTCCTTTCCTCCTCCCTCCCTCCCTCGCTCTCTTTCTTTGTCTGCCTTCCTTCCTTAACATTTATTTGTTTTTATTGGAAAGACAGATTTACAGAGAAAAGGACAGAGAGGGAAAGATCTTCTATCCACTGGTTCACTCCCCAAATGTCCACAATGGCCAAAGCTGAGCTGATCCAGCCGGGAGCCAGTAACTTCTTCTGGGTCTCCCAGTAACTTCTTCTGGGTCTCCCATGTGGGTTTGGGAGCCCAAAGATTGAGGCATCCTCATCTGCTTTACAAGGCCATAAGCAGGGAGTGGAAGTGGAGCAGCTGGGACATGAACCAGCACCCATACGAAATGCTGGAAGTTGAAGAAGGAGGATTAGTCTGTTGGGCTATGGCGCCAAGTACTGCTCACTTGAACTCCATGTTGTTTCTTTTTTTTTTATTGCTTACATTCTAATTGAAATTCCTGTTTAATTATATATATATGCAGTTAATATGCAGTGTTACCACTATTTAGTTTGCAGCTGCTCTGTGGTATATATAGCTTTAATAGATGTGTCACATTTGTTTTAAAACCTTGAATGTCTACAGTTTATATTTTGATATTTCTTTTTGATGATTAGAGAACGCCAGTGGGTCGATGATTTCCCTCTCCATAGAAGTGCCTGTGAAGGAGATTCAGAATTACTAAGCCGACTTCTCAATGAAAGATTTTCTGTAAACCAATTAGACAGTGACCACTGGGCTCCCATTCATTATGCATGCTGGTAAGTGGATTTTGTTTTCTGAAAGAAAAGAGTCACTGCTTCTTATCAAAACTAGTTCCATTTCAAACAGTGTTTCTAGGCACTGCTGAGTCATACAGCAGGATAGTTCCTGAGCAGTTGGTATCATGATACAGTACAAGGTACTTTAGTCATGCCTGCACTTGTGTTGTTTTGTGTTAACATTATGTTTATGCTTAGTAGAAAATGTACATGTGTTAACTACTGAGAAAATGACTTTGACTCATGTTAGTGTGGTACCCTTTCAGTCCTTTCAGACGCCTTTGCTGGAAGCACAGCCGTGCTGTTGGAGCTGAGCCGGGCCTGGGGCAGTGCTTCCTGCTGGCGGCCCACTGTAGGTCTCACTGTCCTGGTCCTCTCCTCCTTGGCTGAGTGCTTAGCCTCACAGTGGGAGTCAGCTGTTTGCTGTGTCCCTTTACCTTAAAAGTCTTAATGAAGCCGTTAACTACTATTTCTGTGTGAAAGTTGTTTTTGGCCTATTGTTTAAAGTGAACTTCTTTGCTTGTGTAAGAACTATCACATTGTTACTGCCTATACGTATCCATATCTTAGGTTGTCACTGCCTATACATATCTATAATATCTTAGGTTGTCAGACTGAATAAGGCAACTTGCCTTCTCTACATTTCTATATTTTTATCTGTATGTATAATACAGTAGCTTGTACATTTCTAGAATTATCTTCAATTCAAAATTCTTTTAATTTCTATAATTGTAATATTTGTGATCACACTGCTAAATGAGGGTACTTCAACAGCTGAAGGAAAATAGAATTTACATTATTTGGGGCGACCAGCATGGTGATGTAGCCTACTAATCCTCTTTCTACAGTGCTGGCATCCCATACAGTGCTGGTTCAAATCCCAGCTGCTTCACTTCTTAACCTTGTCCCTGTGGAGGATGACTCAAGTCCTTGGGACCCTGAGGAAGCTCCTGGCTCCTAGCTTCTTGCTCCTGGCTCACCTGTGGCTGTTGTGTCCATTTGGGAAGTGAATTAGCAAATGGAAGATATCTTTTTCTCTCTCTTTCTCTCTCTCTCTTGCTCTCTTGCTCTGTCTCTCCCCTCCCCCACCCATTAATTTTGACTTTCAAATTAAATAGATAAATTTCTTAAAATATACTATTTTGATGCAAGGCATTGTTTTAAATCTTTGCATAGTTTTCTCCCCACAATATGCATTTTTCCATGAAGAAGTAATTTGTATAGTTTCTTTTAGTGTATGTCTTATTTTGGTTTTCTTTTTTTTTTTTTTTTTAAGATTTATTTCTTTATTGGAAAGTCAGATATACAGAAAGGAGGAGAGACAGACAGGAAGATCTTCCATCCGATGATTCACTCCCCAAGTGAGCGCAATGGCCGGTACTGCACCGATCCAAAGCTGGGAACCAGGAACCTCTTCCAGGTCTCCCGTGCAGGTGCAGGGTCCCAAAGCTTTGGGCCGTCCTCGACTGCTTTCCCAGGCCACAGGCAGGGAGCTGGATGGGAAGTGGAGCTGCAGGGATTAGAACTGGCGCCCATATGGGATCCCAGGGCGTTCAAGACGAGGACTTTAGCCTCTAGGCCATGCTGCTGGGCCCTATTTTGGTTTTCTTAAAAATATAATTTCTATATTTCTTTTCTATTAAAATGCTGTTATATTTCCCATATAAATGAATGAATATATTCAGATTTAGAATATATTTAAAATTCAGGGTTATTTTAAAATGTTGTTAGCTGTTGCAAATTGATAGTAAAAATAACAGTAAAAGAAATTATGTAAAGGGTCTTTAAAAAGTTCATGGAAAATACACATTATGAAAAACTGCATCGATTTTTGGGGAATGATTTTACTTTTTGTGCTAAAATAACTTTTTGGGGAGGGGGAAAAGAACACTCATCTACTGGTTCATCCCCCAAATTCCCAGATGTCTGTGGCTGGGCTGGGTCCTTAGCCAGGAGGCAGATACCCCTGCCTGCCATGGCCTGCCTTTTAGAAACTGGAGTGAGCAGTCAAGGCCAGGCAGCATCCCAGACACTCCAGCATGGCCATGTATGTCTAATACACTCGACCAACCACCACTTCACCAAGTCAGCTTAGCTCAGCTCCCTTTTCCCATAAACGTTTTCAGGTACCCTCGTGCAGTTTACACCTCAGGGAAGTACATACATCATGGAATTAGGATGATCAAAGGTAGTGAATTTCAGTCTGGGAATTCCACATTTATGTTTAGCTCCATCATTGCCCTTTTTAGTGGCAGGGGACTGTTTAAGAAAAAAAAAAGTGGTAATGTTTTCAACTACCTATTAGCTGAAAACAAAATATTATACAGTATTTGATGTGCATGGAATGTACCTAGGTTTCAGTGCTAATGATAAGTTCCTTAAAGTATTACCAAGTTGCTTAATGTCTCCAAGTTCTGTTTCTTTATCTGTCAGATGGACTTAACATGGTACTTTCCCTAAAATTTGAAGAGAAAATGCAAATAAAGTGCTTTGAATGCATATAGTAAGAACTAAGTAAGTGTTGGCTTTTATTAGTAAGTACTAGTAAAGATTGTAGTGTCTAAACCTAAAATTTATTAATCTGTGTGTACTTTTTAAATTATGTTTATCACCTGAAAATATTAGTCAGATTTAGTCCTCCTGAGGTATTTTAGTTCACTTTGCAGAATTTGTAATCAGATGCATCACTTGATTCATGTGAATGTGAATAGTAAGAGACATAGCCAGTGAAACATTAAATTGCTTTGTCTTGGACCTTAGGTACTAGTTGGTGTAAAAGTTGGAGAACTCTGGGCTGCTCCAGGTACCTGGGTTGGTCCTTCCTGGTTTGATCTTTGTAAGCTCTGGCAGACTTTACCTCTCTGAATTGGTTTTCAGTAGTTGTCAATTTTTTATCTTAATACCCCTTTTGTACTGCTAAAAGTTATAAAATCCCAAAGAGCTTTTGCTTATGTGGTTTAAATCTAGTAGTATTTACCAAAGTAGAAATTAAACTGCAAGAGTCTTTAAGCATGTCTTTTACAATAATAAACATATATTAATATAACATAAATTTTAGGAAAATACTATATTTTCCAAAATTAAAAAAAAAATTAGTGAGAGCAGCTTTGCTGTCTATTTCCATACATCTCTCTCCAGTCTTGCTTAATAGAAAGTAGCTGAATCCTCTCACTTGCTTCTGTTCTTCAGTCTGTTACAGTATTACATGTCATAATTTTTCTAGAACACTACAGTTAAGGATAAAAATTAAAAGGGAAAACAATATCTACATATTATTTTAACATTTGACTTGAATACCCTGAAGGAGTTTAGGGATCCTCTTTGGTTTGTGTACTGTTTTTTCAAGACCATGTAATTAGACCACAGAGGGATTGCTCCATGCTTCTGTCGTCGTCTGAGGCAGCCCCTCCAGACCACTGCTTCAGATTGCAGCCTGACCGTCTAGTTTTAACCTCGGGGGTGACTCACTGCCACTGGCACGTGCTCTCTACTCTCCTGATAGCTTGCTTTGCTTGCTCCTTTCTCCTGCCTAAGTACTCTTGTCTTCAAATTCTCCTATTCTTCCTGTTGTATCAAAACACTTTCCCAGACTATCTGAGGTTGTAGCTCTCTCTTTCTCTTGTTTCTTTTTTCCTCCCCACAAGATTTATTGATTTGAAAGGCAGGATTACATAGGGTAGAAGACACAGAAAGAAGTTACATCTGCTGATTCGCTCCTCAAGTGGCCGCCTCAGCTGACCCTGTGCAGGCTGAAGCCAAGGGCCAGGAGCTTCTGCCAAGTATCCCATGTGGGTGCAGGGGGCCTAAACATGTGGGCCATCCTCTACTGTTTTCCCAGATGTGTTAACAGGGAGTTGGATCAGAAGAGTAGCGCCCCAGGCTACAACCAGCATCCATATGCAGATGATGACATTGCAGGCAGTGCCAGCCCTGTCACATCTGTTTTTTCCTGGAATTTTCAAAGCATGAATTATGTGCCATTTTGACGTGACAAATATGAAATGCCTTATATTGTCGGTTGTTATCCTCATCTGTCGTTTATGTAACCTATCCCATGCTTGTTTTATGCCTTTGAGAACATTGGAAGCCTTTCAGAGTAGGAAGGATCACCTGTCTTCCCTGTTTCTATGTTTCCAAAATTGCCTGACACAACTCTAATTAGAATTATGTCTTTGTGTCTGTTTTGTAAACCATTATCAGACCTACCTGAAAATATTCTTTTTACATTTGTTTCTGATCCTCAACCTATTTTTGACTAAAAACTGTATCTCTTGAACCTAGAACTTTGGCATATTGTATGGGATGTTTCTCAGTTACCTACTTCATTTGTTGTTATATTTTCTCTCTGTTGATCAGAAATAGAAACAGACTGATTTGAGCCAGTGGTTCTTAAAAAAAAAACAAAAAAGGTTTTATTTTTATGGGAAAGGTAGATCAGATTTACAGAGAGAAAGAGACAGAAAGATCTTTTGTGCACTGGTTCACTCTCCAAATGGCCACAGTGGCCAGAGCTGAGCTGATCAGAAGCCAGAAACCAGGAGCTTTTTCTGGGTCTCCCATGAGGGTGCAGTGTCCCAGGGCTTTGGACCATCCCCTAATGCTTTCTCAGGCCACAAGCAGGGAACTGGATGGGAAGTGGACTAGACTGGATATGAACTGGGTCCATATGGGATCCAGCACTTACATGGTGAGAATTGAATCATTAAGCCATCGCACCGGCTCAAACTATAATAACTTTTAGAAACTCTCAAGCACTGAAGGCATTTGTATTTGCTCTTTGGCCCAGAAAAAATTTTAGATTTGATACATCATGTAAGACTTGAACTTTGAAGACATTTCAGATAACTTTCACGTAACAAGTTATGTATTTTTGTAGGTATGGAAAAGTTGAGGCCACTCGTATATTATTAGATAAAGGAAAGTGCAACCCAAACCTGTTAAATGGCCAGCTCAGTTCTCCTCTTCATTTTGCTGCTGGAGGAGGACATGCTGAAATAGTCCAGATTCTCCTGAACCACCCAGAAATTGACAGAGTAAGTTATTTTCTAGGTTGGTTTTTATTGTTTGTTTCTTTCTTTTTCAATGTTGAAGCTAAAATAACAAGCAGGGACACTAAGTAATGGTACACTTTGAAAGGTCAACTGAAGAATAAAACTAGTGAAGTAATGTTTGTGTATTCATTGTGCTTTTGCACATACATTTAAAATTAATTTATTTGAAAAGGAGAAAAGCAGAGACAGATAGACATCTGGACAACAGACAACAGCTGGAGCTTGGCCAAGCTGAAGCCAAGAACTTGTAACTCAATTCAGGTTCCTAATGTTTTCAATCTTTTATCCAAGTGCATTTTGTGCTAAAATGTCTACTATTGAATACTTAAGATCTTATTTTCTGTGAAATTTAGATTAATTGAACATTTTCCTCCTGGAATTGAAATAATTACAGTGATCTTTTTTTTTTCTCCTTCATTTCCAGCACATAACAGACCAACAGGGAAGATCTCCATTAAATATTTGTGAAGAAAACAAACAAAATAATTGGGAAGAAGCAGCAAAATTGTTGAAGGAAGCTATTAACAAACCAGTAAGAATTATCTTCATAAATAGAGCCAAACATAGTACTCAATGTAATAGGTAATTTGAGGGTCTCTGATAAGCTTCAATGGATAACTTCTTTAGCAGTACCAAGCCTCACTGTTTCATATGTACTGTATTTGTTATCATCCACAACATATGAACATTCTTCTTTTTTGCTTTTTTTTCTTACATATGAACATTCTTACATCACAAAAATAAAACTTCAAAGATAAATAAAACTTCAAAGATAATCTGATTTGCAGTGTAATTATATAGTCGAGTTAAATCATCAGGACATACTGTGGAGTAGCACACTTCTGAAAACAGAGAAGTTCTCATTAAAGGCTCTTAGGTGACTGCATCGTGCTAACCCCACTGAGCGCTTCCACACACTCAGTGCAACCTATTGCACACTGAGGCTGCATGATGGATGCCATCTATTGTGTGCTCTGTTGTTGGCCAAAACACCATCATTTGCCACATGACTGTACTGGTTACAGTAAGTCTATTTGTTGAACTGTAGCTTTATACTTATACCTTCTAAGCAACATTTTGTATTTTCAAATACAGACTGCACATCATTTACTAGCTTAGCATCAACAAGTTAGTTTTTCTATGACAGACAATTTTCCTCCTTATGAACACATAGTAAGTAGCTTCCTATTCTTGTGTTGTGCTAATTCATTCTGGTCTTCCCATCTAACTATACCTAAAATTAACTCATTAACATAATGCTGAACACAAAAGAATATTGTGTTAAAATTAAAACATTAAGGTGTTAGGGCTGACATTGGGGTACAGTGGCTTAAGCTGCTACTTACAACACCAGCTTCCCATGTTGAAGTTGCTCTGCTTCCAGTCCAACCCCTGCTAATATGTTTGGGGAAACAATGGTAGATGGCCCAGTACTTAGGCCCCTGTTGCCCGTGCGGGAGACCAGGAGATGTTCTGGACTCTTCGCTTTGTCCTGGCCCGGCCCTATCCATGCTGCAGCCTGGAGAGTAACAGTGAATGGATGATCCTTCTCTCTATATATAACTCTGCCTTTCAAATAAAGAAAATAAATCTTAAAAATAAGTAAATAAATGGTAGAAAAGACTTAACAGAAGAAATTGAGTTATATCTGAAAGTATGTGATTTAATAAAACTCATTTATTTGAAATTTTACAAGTTAGAAAAAAGATAACCCCAAAACTTTTTAAAAATTAAGTTATTTTTTGTTTTTAAAGATTTTTTTTTAATTTGAGGCTGTTGTGGTGGTGTTACATGCTAACCCTCAGTCCATAGTGCCAGCTTTCTGTATGGGTGCCAGATCTGTCCTGGCTGCTCCACTTTCTATAACTTTTCTATCTGAAAAAGGGAAACCGGGGCAGGAGGGGACGGGGGGATGGCTCAAGTCTTTAGGCCTCTGCATCACGTGGGAAGCCCAGGAGAAGTTCTATGCTCCCAGCTTCAGACCAACCTAGCTCTGGTTGTTGTGGCCATCTGTAACTCTTCAGGAGTGACCCATCAAATGAAAGATCTTTCTCTTCTTTCTTCTTCTCTGTAATTCTGTCTTTCAAATTAAGTGAAAAAAATAATATATATATATATATATATATATTTAAATTATTTTATTGGAAAGTCCGATATACAGAGAGGAGAGACAGAAAGTTTTTCCATTTGCTGGTTTACTCTCCCCAAGTGGCAGCAATAGCTAGAGCTGAGCTGATCCTAAGCCAGGAACCAGGAGCTCTTCCAGGTCTCCCATGTGGATGCAGGGTCCCAAGACATTGGACCATCCTCTATTGCTTTCCCAAACCACAAGCAGGAGCTGGAGGGGAAATGGAGCAGCTGGGACAAAAACCGGTACCTATAATGGAATCCCAGCAAATGTAAGGTGAGGATTTACCCACTAGCCTATCATACTGGGCCCAATAAATCTTTTTTGAAGAAAAGACTTCCTTATTTAGCAGCTACATCAGCCAGGCCAAAAACAGGATTCTCAAACTCCATCCAGGTCTCCTGTGTGGATAGCAGAGGCCCAAGTACTTGGGCTGTCTTCCGTTAGCTTCCCAGGTACATTAGCAGGAAACTGGATCAGAAATAGTGCAGCCAGAACTGGAACTAGGCATGCAGGTGGCAGTTCAACTTGCTGTGCCACAATACCAGCGCTTAAAATGTCTTCCAAATACTGTCAGCAGTTTCTTACTCGAAGCATTTTTCTGATACTTTCCATGTTAGAAATGTATAATAAAAATAATAATAAAAGACATGAAGTTCAAAGTATTTTGTTGGATTGTGATCTGCAGTTTTTAAACAGGTTGTATAACTTATTCCTTGTCGTAGTATGAAAAAGTAAGAATCTACAGAATGGATGGATCATACCGTTCTGTTGAACTGAAACATGGCAATAACACCACAGTGCAGCAGATAATGGAAGGAATGCGTCTCTCCCAGGAAACCCAGCAGTATTTCACGATTTGGATCTGCTCAGAAAACCTCAGTAAGAAAGTTTGTTTTATTTTGTTGTTTAAAGTGCATTATTTTTGTGAATGTCACTGGTGAACTTAAGCATAATGATGTTTATGGTTTGTGCATTTTAAAATACTGCAGTATTATTATTCTCTTTTAAATAAAAGATAGTTATTATTGCTCATTTGTTGAAACAAGTCCCTAAGCTCCCTTCCCTTGCTTCATTCAAAGCAATGTTTAAATAGCAAATCAATCAATCAATCAATTAATTAAGTAGAAAATCTCACATTCTTGGAGTGGAGTGTAATTTGGACGACGCTAAATGTGGTGTTTGCTCATACAACTAGCCTTCATTTTAATTAATGATCTCAAAATAATATAATTTTTTCCAAATATTTACTTTCTTCCAAATTTCTTAATTCAAAATCAACCTAGTATTACTGTAGGCTTGTCCCTCAAAGTAGAGAAAATATATAAAGGAGTCAATTGATCTCATTAGCGACTTAATAATTTAACATATCTCTTTGACACCAAATACCGCTGACTATGTCAAATAGACTATATTGCAATTAATAATTGCATATACATTAGGTACATTTCTTTTTTTTTTTTTTTATTGTTGCTTACATTGTATTATGTAGTACAGTTTTATAGGCGCTGGGGATTCCCCCCACCCCTCCCATACCCCTCCCCCATGGTGGATTCCTCCCATTAGGTACATTTCTTATGGGCTTAGACAAAAGCAGTTACCTGCAGATCTGGTAGTAATGTTGACTCAAATAAATGCTGCTTTCAGTGCAGGCCCTTAGTGTGTACTTATGTGAAGATATTTAGTACAGTTTTTATTGATGTGATTGAATTATTTTATATTATAGCTTATAAAAGGAAAGATGTTTTTCAGGCCTTCAGCTCAAGCCTTATCATAAGCCCTTACAACATGTTCGTGACTGGCCGGAAATACTCGCTGAGTTGACGAATCTGGATCCGCATCGGGAAACACCCCAGCTTTTCCTAAGAAGAGATGTGAGGCTTCCTTTGGAAGTTGAAAAAAAGGTTTGCTTAGAAATCTTTTCACTCTCATTCCAGTGCAATAAATCTGCTGAGTAGGCATCAGAGGTAGAAATTTGGCTGTTTCAATTTTATGGGTTTTGCTTCTGATTTTCTGTCCAATTTTTTTTTTAATTGAAAAGGCAGATATACAGAGAGAAGGTGAGACAAAGAGACAGATCTTCCATCCGCTGGTTCACTCAGTGGCTGCGATGGCTGGAGCTGAGCCAATCTGAAGCAAGGAGCTTCTTCCAATTCCCCACACAGGTGCCAGGTCCCAGGGCTTTGGGTCATCCTCATTGCTTTCTCAGGCCATAAGCAGGGAGCTGGAGGGCAAGTGGAGTGGGTGGGACACAAACCAGCACCCATGTGGGATCCCAGCAGATGCAAGGCTAGGATCTAGCCACTAGGCTATCACACTTGGCCCCTTCTGTCCAATTCTTACATGTCTGTAGTAAATGGCACTTTCTTTTGCATTCTGCTACCACTGTCCTAAGAATACAAAAAAAGTAAGAAAACTTACCCTGAGGAAAGTGACCAACCTGTTGGCAAGAAAAATTATATAGTAAGTTAATTTTAACAGTAGTTAGGAAGTAGTGTCGCAGAAGGATAATAAATGGTAATTTGTTGTGTAAATTTCAAACAGAAGAGATACTTTGCAAAATGAAAGCAAGGAAAGCATTTGCAGAGAGGACATAATTCATTTTCAGAGGTCAGGAAGTAGCTGTTCTTCAATCAAGCAGAAAACTGCTATGTATATAGTAAAACATCTGTTATAAAGTTATTTTTTTTAATTTAAACTGGTGTAGATTTACAAAAAAAATTTTTTTTGGTATTAATTTTTTTTAATATTTTGACAATCTTTACATAGTTAATTAGAGTAAAAAGGTTCAAGGGGGTAAGACTATTATTTTTTCCATATTGTTTCCTTCATGTTTAAAGGGGGGTATTAAGGGAGAAGGTCACAGGGGCTGGTGTAATGGCTACTAGCTAATCATCCACTTTCAAGTGCAGCGTCTCATATGGGCACTAGTTCATGTCCCAAAGGCTCCACTTCCCATCCAGCTTTCTGCTGTGTCCTGGAAAAGCAAAAGAGGATGTCACAATGCCTTGAAACTCTGCACCCGTGTGGGAGACCTGCCTGGAAGAAGTTCCTGGCTTCTGGCTTCAGATGAGTTCAGCTCTGATCAGGTGGCCATTTGGGGAGTGAAGCAGTGAATGGAAGATGTTCTGTCTGTTCTGCTTTGCTCTGTATATATGCACTTCCAATAAAAAATAATATTGGTAAGAAAAAGGGGACACAATAATCTAGTAAAAGAAAAAACCCACATCATTACTTTCAGTAACACCAAAAAGGTACTTACCAAATTGTAATATCTTTTCATGATGAAAATTCAAAAAACTATGAGTAAAAGGGAACTTTCCCACTATGATAAAGGACATTTATGAAAACCTAGAGCTAACATTGTACTCACTGGTACAATGTAGGAAAGACTTAAAACTTTCCTACCGAGATCAGAAATAAGATAAAAATACCCACTTTTATCACTGTCATTTTACTTTGTATTGGGAGTTCTAGCCAAAGCAGCTGGACGGGGAAAGAAAGAGAGAATGGCAACATCTGAGTTGGAAAAGAAAAAATGAAACTTTATGTATTTGCAAATGTCAAATATGTAAAAAAATTTTTAAGAAAAAGGAGAAGGAAGTCTAAAAAACCTACTGGAACTACTAAGTATGTTTAGCAGATTTATAGCATATAAACTCAACTTAGGGAAATACAAAAAAATATACTAGCAATTAGTAATTCAGAAAGGAAATTATGCAGTTCATTAAAATAACATCCAGATGAATAAAATGCCAACAACTAAACTGAACAAAAGTAATTCCAGGTTTCCACTCTAAAAACTACAAAATTTGACTGAATAATCAAACGGGCCTCAAAAACTCAATTGAGATGATCATGTTCAAGGACATGGGGCTGGGCCAGGCCTAAGTCGGGAGCCACAGCTGCATTCAGGTGTCCCCCTAGCTGGCAGGGACTTGGGCCATCTGTGCTCTTCCTGGTACTGGAAATGCAGTAGTCGCAGCCCAGACACAGGTGATGATGGCACCCGTTACGCCACAATGCAGGCCTGGCAATTGCAAGGACTTAGGGCAATTGTAAATTACATTTGAAAGTACTTTAAATATTCTTTCAGAAACTTTATAACAGGTGATTATTTTCAAGTGGAAATATATTCTGTATAGTAGTATTTCTCAATCTTTATTCATCTTACTAGATCAAATGAAACTTTCAAGATTTTAGAACTTAAAAAAATGCATACTCTACTGTTACTTGCAACTGTAAGTTTTAATACCAAATAAAATAAAAAATGTTTCAAAACAAGCTTTTTAAAATTGTTTGTCCTAGGAATTGACACACTTCCTTTTATCTTCCTTTAAGCTCATTACCATGTTTCATGAAGCATAGGTGACAGAAAAGTGTTTCAGGAATATGTGGTAGCAAGCTGCAGCCTATGGCCATGTCCTGCCTGCTGCCTCATTCTGTATAGCCCACAAGATAAGTGTAGTTTTTAATATTTTGAATGGCTAACAAAAATTGGAAGAATTAATTTTAAGTGAAGGTTTTGTTGGAAATTCTGATTTCAGTATCTATATAAGGTTACACCAAAGCCTGGCCCCACATTCCTTTGCTGCTGCACTGCCGGCGGCTGCGCTGGCGCTGTGGAGTAGTCACAGCAGAGATTACATGGCTAGCAGAGCTGCAGCTATTGCTGGTTGGCCCTTCCTAAGGAATGCTGCTTGCCCCTGCCCTAAAGCAATAACCATTCATTTAACACACATAATGTAACTTTTGCTTTTTCCATATCGACAATAGCAAGTTGTACACTTGTAAAATGAAATTGTAGCCTAACAACAAAATTATACTTTCTCCTTTTAGATTGAAGACCCACTAGCTATTCTGATTCTCTTTGATGAAGCCAGATATAATTTACTGAAGGGCTTTTATACAGCTCCTGATGCTAAACTAATAATACTGGCAAGTCTGCTGCTGCAGATAGTTTATGGAAGTTACGAGAGTAAGAAACATAAGCAAGGTTTCCTGAAGTAAGTATTTAATAGATGCTTGACCTTGAACTTTGCTCGAGAACTTGTTTAAGGAAGTTTAAAAAATATTTATTAGGACATATTTGTACATTTGTTTTGAATTAAATATTGAAATACAAGGCATAGAAAGAGATAAAGCTACTATAGTGCGGTATTTTTATATCTTTATATATTCCAAAACTATTTTTCTTTTATTTGACTGTAGTATGATATGCTTTATGTTTTTTTATCTTTCTTTATTATATGTTTATATAATTTCACTAATACCTGACTTGAATAAAGAATAAAAAAATTTTGCAGATGCAGTTTAGGATCTCGGCATAAAAACGAATGTCCTGTTCAGTCGTTGAGAGGACACTGAGATCTAGTTTATCTGAAGTTTGTTTATCGTGATTTTCCATTTTAAAAATATGTTCAGTAAAGAAAGTGTTGATATTAGGATTGTGACTTTTTGCTTAAAACCTTCATAGAGTGTTCTGATATTTTTACAACAGTATTTTTCAGCTTAAAAATTGTTCATTCAAAGCATTTATGACATGATTATTATACTTTAGCTATTAAAATGATTCATTTAAAGAATGTTGGCATGTGTATTTACAGTGAAGAAAATCTGAAATCCATTGTACCTATTACCAAACTGAAAAGTAAGGCACCTCATTGGACAAACCGAATACTTCATGAATACAAGGTAAGTAATTTAGTAGCAGTAAAAGAGATTTCACAGCCTACTTGACATTAATGTTATTAATGATTTAAACATGCATTTATAGTTCTGAAAATGAAAAATGGATCTAGATCATGATTCCTGTAACTTAAAATAGCAAGACATTCTTCATTTTTAGTGTAATGTAGAGTCTTTTACCCAACAGTTTCCTTCACTGAATGCTGAGATATGGGGCAACTGAAAATTTGGAATAATATACTGTCCTTGCCCGTGGGGCACTTGAAAGCTAGTAGATTATATACTGGTTTAAGACTTTGACGTTTTTCTGTTTTTAACATTAATAACACAAAAGAACATACTCTCGGGATAATGTGCCAGAATTTTGCTCTTTGGAGTCAACCTTGATTTTAGAACTTGCTAAACTGGCATTGTTGTACCTTCAAAGGAGTATTTTCCTTTCACATCTGCTTTATTTTTGTTTCTATCTTGCTTGTTTTTAGAATCTTAGTACAAGCGAGGGTGTCAGTAAAGAAATGCATCACCTGCAGCGCATGTTTTTACAGAATTGTTGGGAAATCCCAAGCTATGGGGCGGCTTTTTTCACAGGACAGATCTTTACGAAGGCAAGCCCCAGCAATCACAAGGTCATCCCTGTGTACGTAGGAGTGAACATAAAGGGACTTCATCTCCTCAACATGGAGACCAAGGTAACTGTTAGCTGCTTTCTAACAGTAACATCCTCCATTATCTAAAACAAAGTGCTGACCGCCCGGAAGCATCTAGAAATGGTAAATCTACAAGGTTATTCATTGTAAAACATCAGAGGGAAAAGTAAACTGACTGTTGATAGGAGGTTAATATTATGGTAAATTTTTGCATTGGGATATCTTTTAGTATAGAGAGTATTTTTATATAGAAGTTTCTTAAAAATATAGTTACTGCAGAAAAAAGGGCTGAACTTATGTGATATGCTATCATCGGTATGAAAATGAAAAGAAATGAAATCAATCTTTGTATAAATATATGTTGCTTTTGTATGCATTGAAAACTATCAACTACTACATCACTATGCCAACCCCTGATTATCATTTTCTATTAAAACTATTTTGCTCATGCAAAGTAACTTCCTGCTAATTATATTACAGCTGCTTCTGTTGCAATATATATAAAAAATTAAGCGGGGGGCGGGAGAGGGAGCCTGATATGATGGCTTAGTGGTTTAATCTTCACCTTGCAAGCACCAGGATCTTCTATGGGCACCATTTGTGTCCCAGCTGCTCCACTTCCTATCCAGCTCTCTGTTTATGGCCTGGGAAAGCAGTAGAGGATGTGCCAATGCCTTGGGACCTTGCACCCATGTTGGAGACCCAGAAGAAGCTCCTGTCTCCTGGTTTTGGATCAGCTCAGCTCTAGCCATTGCAGCCATTTGGAAAGTGAACCAGATCTTTCCATCTGTTCTTCTGCATGAATCTGATCTGTCTTTCCAATTTTAAAAAAATCTTAAAAAAAAAGAAAAAGGAAAGAAATAGAGGGGACCAGAGCTGTGTTATTTCAGATTAAGCAGCTGTCTGCATCACCAGCATTCCATGTGAATGCCATTTCACTTCCTGGCTGGTTCATTTCCTATGTAGCTCCTTGCTAATGGACCTGGGAAGCAACAGCAGATGGCTGGTGTGCCCGGGCCACTGCACCCATGTGGGAGATCTGCATAGATTTTCAGCCTCCCGATTGTCCTGGCCCAACCGAATACTGCAGCCATTGAGCCACTGGCTGGAAGATCAGTTTCTCTCTCCCTCTCTCTTGAAGTCTGCCATAACAACAGTAATAGCAGTAATAATAATAAAATATCCCTTCCCCAAGGAAGGGGTAACAGAAATCTTTTCTTTGATGTTTTAGAATATTTTTTATCAACATTTGCAAATCTTTCTTCACAGAACTTGTTGGCAATAGTGTGAATGTGACACTGTCATTTGTCTGAGCTGTATTTTAAGTTTGGCTTGATTGCTTTCTAAATTTAGAGAATATTAAAAAGTTTTTATGGTATTCAAATGATGGTTTAGCATTATGTTCATTTATGAGTAATATTCTGATCTAGTGGTTAAATAAGTGAGATAATGGTAGCAGACAGAAGGATGATAAGTAACGATGTCATTGAACAGTCTGTTTTGTCAGGATAAGATGTTCAATTTCTAGAAATAGAAGTGAGAACTTTGGTATATAAAATGATGATTGGACCAAAGGCTAAAGATGTGTTTTGTGCATGTAATTATTACCATATGGTCTGTAAGCTACTGATAAGCTGGGGGCACCTTTGGAAGCGCTAAGATGATTATATGTTTCAGTCCTCAAAGATGGGCACAGCCAGCTTTTCTTCAGTTGTCCTTGACTGACCAAGATCTGCTGAGGTTGACAAGCTTTGCTAAACTCAACACTTCATCTGCAAAAATACCTTCACTTGACTTTGAAATTCTACCTTACCCCAGAAATTAATTCTTAGGAAGAAACATAGATTAAAGCCACATATAAATAGTTTTCTTTAATACCAATAACTTCTACATTCTTTATCTTCTTTTAAATAATAAAAGTTACTCATCTGAAAACATAGCTCAGCCAATTGCATAAGCTTACTGCTGGCCTGTTTACATAAAATGTAAGCACTGTTGAATGGATAAATATATTGTTGTGGCTTTGTGTTTGATGACAGTAAAGTACCACTACTGCACCCAGACAACAGAGCATCCTTTGCTGATGCTAATTTATATTGACCATAATGTCTTCCTGTAACGTATGGAGCTGTTTCAACATTTATTCTTGGGTGTTTCAGCAACCAGCTGCCAGCCTATCATTCTGTCTGTTCACGTCACTGTTTGGCCTGTCTGCTGGTCACCAGTGTGACAGTTCTGACTTCTGTGGCTGTCCCTTTCCTGCTGTCAGCTGTCTTTCTGAACAGTTTCTCTTGCTGTTTTTTACTCTCCTCACGAGCACCTTGCTTTCTAGGTCTGACGTACCACCAGGACCTACTTCCCCCTTCTGTGCAGACTGAGCACCTAAACCTGCGGCCTCTGACTCTTCAACTCCACTTAGCTAGTTTCATTATCTAGGGTTTCTTAAGAATGCCTTCATCACTGCACAATGTCCATTACTGAAAAAGCTTTATTTTAACCTATGGACTCAGTATTTCCATTGGAAACCTGACTTGTCTGTAAGTGAAGACTGCCATGGATAGATTTTGTTCCTTGCACTAAACTGCTCTGAAGCCATAATAATGGGCTATTTTCTTGCTTTGATTAAAAATTTTTCACATGATTAATCCAAAAGGCAATTTTAGGTGTTATGTCCTGACCCAGTGTTCTAGTCTGTACCTTGGTTAAGTGACTATTGCTATCTCTACCTATATGCCAAATATCCTACATATAAAGTGATTTTTTGTAATGTGAATGTAGTAGCTAGTTTTTAGATGTTAATTAATTTTTTATTATGGATAATGTAAATTCATGTAAGTTAATTTTGTTTAATTGTGTTTGATTTACCATAACCTCAGGTATAAATGTCTGGAACTGATGCCTTTTTGGTATCTTAAGGATATTTTATTCAGCTATAAGAATTGCTTTTCATAGAAAGCTAGTATTCATAGAAAGCATGTGTTTTCAAGAGTGACATCATAGTTCTCTTGTATATGTGTATGCAAAGAAAATACAAGTTACTGCTAAGAAAGTTATTATTGAAAAATAATCAAAAATATATCTAATGCTTCCTTAAGTACACTATGTTTGGACAGTGTGGGAACAGATTAATCATGCTTATTTTCACAATAAATGTGTCAAGGTGCTTATTTCAGTGGGACAAGATTGCTAAAGTCAATCTGTTACCCTAATGCATGAATTTCAGACCTGAAAGTACTTTGCTATTATTCAAAAAGAAGGTACTTAATAAATTAAAGGGATCATTATTTTTAACCTGAGGAAAGTAAAAGTTTGTAGTACATTTCCTGAAAGTCACTGATTATTGGAATGGACATCTTTATAAAATTTTTTTGGTGCTGGCATTGTGGTACAGCTGCTAAAGTTACTGCCTGTTTCACTGCCATCCTTTATGGCCTATACCCAGTTCAAGTCCTAACTGCTCCTCTCCCAATCTAGCTCTCCTTTCTAATGGCCTGGGAAAGAGGTGGGGGATGGCACAGGTTTTTGGGTCCCCATATCCATGTGAGAGACCTGGAAGAAAGCTCCTGGCTCCTGGCTCCGGCTGGCCCAAGTCCTGGCTGTTGAGTCCAACTGGGGAATGAACTAGTTTCTCTCTCTAACTCTGACTTTCAAAAAACAAACACACAAACAAAAAGAAGTGTGGTAATCTGGTGTCAAGAGTATGACTTATGATTATCATTCTCTATAATATATAAGTCAAATTGTATGAAGTTAGTGAGATACTCTAAACAGTCTTTATTATAACATTCGAAGTCAGTATGTTTAGACCGATTTAAATGTAAATAGAGAAAATAGGTGTTGGCTTTTAACATATATTTAATGTAATAATTTTCAATTATGTTGCAGGCTTTGCTCATCAGTCTTAAGTATGGCTGTTTTATGTGGCAACTGGGAGATGCTGACGCTTGTTTCCAAATCCATAGTATGGAGAATAAAATGAGCTTTATAGTGCATACAAAACAGGTAAGCCCTTATCAATTATTTTAGACTTCTTATGATGAGCTTTTGTTTTTTAGTAGCATAGCCCATTTAGTGTCAATGGAAACCTTTGATATTAAGTGAAATCAAAATATTTAATATCAAGGCAGGCATTTCCTAAGCAAGGAAAGCCAGAAATTGACATGGAAAATTCATTTCAGTTTTTTAATAAATTCTTGTGTCACACATTTAAATTCCAGTCAGCAGAGCCTATCTATTCTATCAAGGTGTCCTCCCCTCTTCTTGACCTCTGCTGTGTATGCACCATTAGTCTCTCTCCAGTGGGTCACCTCTCACATCACTTTAGGAAGCTTGGGTAATTCTCCCTCTGTATTTCTTGGAAAGTTGCCTCCTGAAAAGAAAGTTCCTTTTCAATTAATTAGAGAACTTCCCACATGTCCTTAATATACCAACATGTTTGATATTTAATGGTGTTGTGTATTTTATTTTATAGGCTGGTCTTGTGGTAAAACTGTTAATGAAGCTCAATGGGCAGTTAATACCTACTGAAAGAAACTCATGACAAGAAAGCAGCTGGTAGCTGAGTCACCACATTTTGTAATACAGACTTTTTCCATGAAAGATGTCTTCAAATATTACTTTTGACAAGGTATTTAGTTTATTGTAATATATATGTGTGTGTATATTATTCTACTACATTGTACAGAATCTGTACTTATGTTTGGTGTGTAATATACCATTTAGTTTTATATAATAGCCTCATAAGCTGTTCTAATTTTTGAGAGAATCAAGTAAAAATTGTAGATTGATAGTCTGTATAATATTAGATGAAATAGGAAGGTGTATAAAAGTTATTTTTGGTAAAATGGTAAAGAATTTGGAGTGGAATGTAATGAAATTATGAATTATTTCAAAATATAATGGAAGTCAACATGATTTGAATAAAGAAAACATTTTTTACTTGGATCATATAATACTATTATTTAATTTTCTGAAACCTAGTCATATTCCTTAATGTGTTTTTATATGTGTTCCTCAATGTGTTTTAAAACTCTTAAAATGTATATCTAATAAGGTAGTGTTTCTCAGAGTATAATTCTTAAACTCCTTGAATCTTACTTTTTCCTGTTAAAACAATTTTAGACCCAGTAAGGAATTCAGATTATTAAACCTGTGACTTTCACAAAACTGACGAGCACTTGGACATACACGGACAGGCATGTTAAGAAACAATCTTTAGGTAGTAGCAGTTGAGTTTGTTTATTAATGTGTACTGTATTTTTATGAGTTGATATAAATTTATGCTGCCTTTATGTTTGTAGGAATTAGATCCAAACCTGGTTGTTTCATTTAGGAGAGTGCTGACATCATTGGGCAAGAGCCAGTCTCACCAACATGCTGTTTAATGAGCTGAAAACTACAGTTTTGCTATAGTGGTAGACACTGGTGTGTCTAGTCAGTCCAGAGATACAACAGTCTTATTGAAAGCTTTCCTATGGAATGCAGATTATTTTAATAACTGTCTTTTCATGTTAACTTTTATTTATTTTAATACTGTTATGTGTAAGCCTTATTAGGATTATTTGTATAAGTAATGTTGCCATCTTAAAATTGTTTGTATAAGTAATGTTAACAAGAAATTTAGGTTATCTTTAATTATGTGCTGGACACTCTCGATTCTGCATAAAGAATTCCTTGTCTAGTTTTATCCATTTCAGTGACCTCTAGTGTTACCAAATAACTTGTTGATTCCCAAACTTAAAATTTCAGCCTCTGCCTTCCACCTGGAACTCTGTGTCTTAACCTCCTAGTTGTGTTACTTTTGCTCCATCTGAATGACATACAAAGAGTGCTTGCTTTGGCAGCACATATACTAAAATTGAATGGCATACAAAGAACTTAGATTTGTACAGATCCTCTTTTTGTTCCATTCTGTCCTTGCACGCACATTTTCCATTAATGGCATCATGAAATTACATTCAGTTTCTCAGCCTGGAAATCTTAGTATGACTTTCAACTTTTCATTCTTTTCTCATCCCATACATTCCATTCATTATGTCCTGTCAAATATCTTACAAGTCTTTCTCTGTTGCCCTGTTTCCTGCTCACTATAACCACACTAAAATCTTCATTCATTCCTTGCTTGCAGCACAATCCAGCCTCGTTTACTGACAGGGATATGTTCTCACACATGCATCATTTAAGTGACCTCATAGTTGCTGAAACATCATGTGTAATATAAACTTCTGACACCACTATCATGTTTAAGGGCTATCCATTGCTGATGTAAACATCATGGTGCAACGGGTGCCTGGAGCTTCCTAATCCAACCTCAGGCCACTCCCCCTGTCGTCAGGTGAACCTGGGCAATTACTCTGTGAAAAATCTGACCTGCCTCTTCGGGGTAATGTCCAAGCACTCCTGCTACTCGGTCCTATCCTCCAGCACACTGTTTCCATGGCTTGCCTTTCAACCCATGGTGAAATCCAGTACTTTATTAGTAACTTCAGGGGGAGGACAAACTGTGTTTTTCAGGTAAGCTGTGTGCTTTTGATGTACAACTAGGAGTTAAGAGTTACAGCAAATTTATCCAGGAAATAGCTGAATTTTTTGCCTTTCACAGATAAGAGGTGAGAATGCATGGCACATCGAACAACAACCTGCTTTGCATAATACAGTGTACCCTGCCTGGAATTTTACAGTATGGCGGCTGCACAGCAAAGGGGAGAGGGCACTGTCAGACTAGTAGAACTATTAAAGGCTTTTAAAAATAGCATTAAAAACTCAAGTTTCAAAATCAGACTTTATTTAAAAAAAGATCCATCACTATCTCTAAGACTATAGCAAAACAATAAAACTGATGGAGAAGGGCCCAGCATAATAACCTAGGCACCGGGATCCCATAAGGGACTGGTTCATGTCCCAGCTGTTCCACTTCCCCTCCAGCTCCCTGCTTGTGGCCTAGGAAAGCAATAGAAGATGGCCAAAGCCTTGGGAACGTGCACCCACGTAGGAGACTCAGAGGAAGCTCCTGGCTCCTGGCTTTGGATTGGCTTAGCTCTGACCGTTGTGTCCATTTGGGGAGTGAATCAATGGATGGAAGATATTTCTCCCTCATTCTCTGTAAACCTGCCTTTCCAATAATAATAAATATATCTTAACTACAACAAAACTGATAGGAAAACTCAGACAGCTTTTGAAAGATAACCATTTTTTTTCCTTTTCATCAGTCTTTAGGTAAATTTGAGTACCTTTTGTGTGTCCCATTTCAAAACAGCCTTTGCCTTGAGGTAGTAAGTTTTAATGAGGAAATAACAGCTGTCCAAGTTATTGGTGTTTAAGAAGAACTTCAGAAGGTCAAAGGGATATAAAGCATATTTAAAGAGATAATAACTGAAAACACCAGAAACCTAGAGAAATAACAGCTATCCAGATACAGGAAGGTTTTAGGTCACCAATAAGAATCAACTCAATCAAGTTTAGCCCTTGATATATTATAATCAGAGTCCCCCAAGGTCAAGGATAAAGAAAGACTTAAAGAGCTACAAGAGAAAAGAAGCAACCTAGTATAGAAGATTGTCCCATCCGGATCCCCACCAAGGACTATCAGTATGGGCACCAAGGACTACATCCCAACTGCCAAAGAGACCACGGGGAACTGGAATGCCTTCAGAGGGCATCCCTCCGCTTTGGATCTACTACACGGGATGAAAGAAGCCCGAATTCCTCGTAGGATCCAAGGTCACCAAAACAACAGCCAGGAACCCAGAGCAGTCCTCTGAATCAGAAGTACAGTAAACTTCCTTTGGGGCTAGGGAGAGAAGCTTTCTCTGGTCCTTACTTAGTTCCAACTTTGGGTCTCCACCCTCTCTGCAATGACCATCAGGGTTGCTCCAGAGCCCCCCCCCCCCGCCAAACACACACACACACACACATTAAAATAGATAGGCAGAGAACAACAAGGAAAGCTTGGTCAGCATGGACTCGCACATACCTTACTAGTTAGGACACAGAGTAAGTACTCCTCACCAAGGTATTGAAGATTTCTCTGCACACCCCTCCTATAACTGTTATGCACCTCAATTGTTGAAATGTCAATGGAGTAGTCACAGGATGTGGTTAAGAACTTGCATTATTTTTAACATATTGTTTACTCAATACTATGTCAATTAATACCATAACATTGTATATTGTTGCTGATGTTATGTTGGGGCTTTTGATTGATCGGGATTTTACTCTGTTGACTCTACCTTCAGACCAGAGAAGGTCTCCCCAAGAAGCCATTGAACTTATCTGGACAATAAGATGCTGGACTCTATGCTTGGTATATGCTTACAGTGAAGGAATCTCAACTGAACTTGAACTGTGGCTATGCAACAAGGTGGAGGAATCCACTATGGGGGGAGGGGAATGGGAGGAGTTGGGGGAATCCCAGTACCTATAAAACTGTGTCACATAATACAATGTTATTAATAATAATAATAATAATAATAAAAGAAGATTGTCCCAGCTTGCCTGGCTGCACTCTCCAGCAGAAATCTTACAGGCCAGAAGGAAGTGGAATTAGATGGCCCTTGGTATGCATGAAAAAATATTGCCAACCAAAACAGCTGTACGCGCTACAACTGCCCTTCAGATCTGAGGGAGAAACAAAGATAGTCCTAGGATGTAGCATAAGCAGACCTGTCCCACAAGATATGCTACATGTTACTCTTCAAACACAAAGAAAGTGATTTTGAGAAGAAAGTATCAGAAGATCAGAAGGTCAGTGAATGAAGAGCCAGAAGTAAACCCACACGCCTGCGCTATCTGGTCTTTGACAGAGGTTCTCGGAACACACGCTATTAAGCTGACATCCTGAGAAAGCTGGACATCCACATGCAGAGAGTTGTAGCCAGACCTCCTGCCTTACACAGTATGTAACAGTAACTCAACGTGGATTACTATAGAGAGCTTGAAAGTTTGAAACTGTTAGGACAAAAGAAATGCTTCAGGATGCTTGAATGGGCAAAGATTTTATGAGTAAGACCCAGAAGCACAGAATGCAAAAGCAAAAACATCAAAAACAAAAATCAGATATCAAAAGAAAAAAATTTCTACACCACACACATGGAAGACTGTATTACATATGTCAGGACAGTGACTAGTGAATGGGATGATCTGAATCCAAAATCTAGTAGTTTGGTTTCAGAATTCAAACACGAGTTGAATATAGGGGTAGTAGCTGAATAAGCTTTCTTTTTTAAAAAAAATTTATTTTATTTATCTGAAAGGCAGTTACCAGTCTTCCAACTACTGGTTCATTGCCCTGATGACCACGATGGTCAGAGCTGGGCCAGTCTAAAGCCAGAAACTTTTTCCTGATCTCCCATGTGGGTGCAGGGGCCAAGTATTTGGTTCATCCTCCACTGCTTTTCCCAGACGATTAACAGGAGCTGGACCAGAAGTGGAGCATCTGGGACACAAACCAGTGCCAGTGAGTGATGCTAGTACTGCAGGTTGTGACTTAACCCTCAATGCCACAGGGCAGGCCTGGTAGATTTTTTTTAAAACGAACACACCAAATCTTGAGTGGTAACCTGTTCCCTGCTGATGGTGAGTCATTGAAGCCTTCAGGACCTGATGAGCTCAGATTTGTACATTGAAAGATCCCCCTGATCCAGTGTCAGGAAGGCCTCTACATGGGGATTCTGACCAAGAGGGTATAAGACAGTGGGGCCCAAGCTAGAGTCATGACCATGACTATGACCATGAGAGGAACACGTCCGTGGGCCAGCAGGGCCATTGTGAACGTTCTGTGGTCTTTTAGTCTGGGAAGAAAGGGGAAGACAGGAGTATACTATGGATCCCACCACCTTCTGTGCTGGGCAGCTGACAAGATGCTGTCACATACTACCACAGCTAGGGAGTGGGAGAGGTGCTTGCAGACATCAGTTGAGTTCCTGACGCCCAGGGCAAGTGCTGATGGAGATGTACAGTAGCAGACAGTACCCCGGGAGGATGTTCAGCAGTCTGCAGGTGGAGGCAATGGACCACAGGCACAGATCTGAAGTCACCCAAGAAGAGAGCAGAGATGCAAGCCCAGGAATGCCAACCTGTGAGACAGGGCAAGGTAGGAGAGTCCACAGAGCCCCCCACCAGGACAAGCAGTGTGGCTATGGAAAAGAAAGAGGTGGGCTTCTTTCTGCATGTGTTATGG